TCTACATCCAGAATAAAACATGCAATCGACAGGAGTCATAAAATAAATTGGCTGTAGATGCATCATTAATTCGGTAATAAAACCGAGAATAACAACTGAATTTCTCTGAAATACCGCAGCCAATTAGCGTCCAATTTAATTAATTGTGCTAAACAAGAATTTCCTGAAAAATACTTGAAGATTTATTTCAATAAATAAATAAGATCCGTTAAGAACCGAGAGTTTCTGACATTGAGGATCATGATAAATACGTCTGAACAAAAATAGAAAGCCTCACTCTTCGCTTCTAGGTGTGAAATGCCGAAGGTATTCCTCACAAGAATTTATTTACTATTTATCTGGTACGGGAGAGAATCGCGCGATGCCAGAGAAAAATGATCATTCGATTTCCCGAAAGTTGGACAAATTCCATTTGACTTAGACACGGAATCCCTGCGAGCTGGATGATTCAGCGATGAATGAGGTGGGCAAGAGTTACTCGTGTAGACAGTAATATTAATGCTGAATCATTCCCAGATGTGCTATTTATCAAAGTGTTTCCCCAGAATCATCAGCGAGATATTATCGCCTCCCTATGTATGATGACAACGGCTAATTAAAGAATATTCATCACTCATTGCTATTTTCACAGCAATTCCCTCATGCGGTGGAATTTTAATAGTTTTGTTTTCCGAATTAATCCCCAAAGCTGCACCTAAAAGCGGAGCCTGGGTGTGTGAGAGAAAATTTAAACGCGTTCGACTAGGACTGGAAAATAAACAGTTGAGGACAATGAGGTCATTGTTTGACTACCCGACACCTCGGGGTTCTTCATCTGGAAACCATTTAGGACATTGGTTATGCAGACTCTAGCCTGAGTCATAAACAAAGAGAACTTGGGCCTGAGGTTCCCAAAACCGAAAATCCATCGGGCAGTTCGACTCTCAACCCGAATGAGATCACATCGCTCCACATTAAATATCTTCTGACATATTTTACTAAACCTTGTTATTAGAGGTGTTTACTCGTTTTTTTTATTTATTTTGTATTTTGTTTATTACATGACACCACCTGCAATTTATATTCGCGATTCTAGAGAACGTCCCTCGATACGCGAGCTGTCACTGCTTTGATTGATAGATGGAAACAAATTTCCTTTTCAATGAAAAAGGGAATCCAGTCTTCTCTGTCTGAAAATTACCTTGCAGTCCTGCAGACTTGCAGCTCTTCAGAGGAATATTCAAACTTTCATTCTGTATAAGATATTAAAAAAACATCGACAAGTATTTTGAAGATGAATAATAAATCCCAGACGAAGATTGACGATTAATCGATGAATTTCGGCCATTCTATTCCGCAAAATTCTTCATTGAAGTTGATGATAAAGATCTTTAAAGATGACAATAATAGATTTAGCTAGACAGCGTTTCGAATGTTCCCCTTCAAGCGCAGTCATTTAAAAAGAACTTAAGAAATTAAACAAATCTGGAGGTATCAATGGTCGAAACATCTTATAATTAATTAATTAACTGCATGAAACGTTTAACACCAGATTATGTTCTTATTTTTTGGTTCTTTTTAAATCAATCAAAGAGGAATGTCTTTAGCATTCGAAAAATTTTGCATGGATCAGTCTATCATCGTGACTTTCTTTGAAAATTTCAATTTTATTTTCATATCTCAACCCGATCGATTTTCAATGAATCTCAGAAAAATAGGAAAAATAACAAAATACCGGCAGAACATCCTTAAAAAAGATTGACGACGTAAAATGGCCGACGATCACGTATGTTGGAACCTCGATAAACTGAAGTCTGTACAATCTGTTTCAAGTTCTCTGTAAAGCACTCGAGTCTGTAATATCGGAGAAATCATAGTACTGGAAAAAGTCTGTATCAAAGGAGCAGGCAATAGGTTCATGGGCAGCTTGATCCTCAACCCTCTGTCTTCAAATACTTGTGCTTGCTCTTAAATCCTTAGAAATTCCCCAATTGAACGTTCCACAAAAATTCGTTTTCTTCAACTTTCGTGAAGAATTATAAAATAATAGTTGCAGTGATTTTTGGGTATTGAAACTGCGATAGTTAAATTAATTAAAACAATTAATTAACTCTAATCACGATTTCTTTATTAAAATCGCTGGAGGAAGAATATCGTCTGAACTCTATCAATATCTCCAAAAGACTAAAGACTGGCCACAAGACCATAAGAACATTCGTCACCAAAGAAAGAACCTTACAATGATTTTTTATAAAACCATTGTTTATGTTTATACAAACTCTGAGGCGACTCCGTGGAGCCCTCCATATCGATTAATTTTTGTAATTATCATAAATCAGTTCAATATATTTTTATTAAGGTGGTTGTCGCGCGACAGTCTCTGTAAAAAGTTTATCCGCTGTAAAACGG